CGTTCATCCCCCCTCCTGCCCTGCCAGGCTGATGCTCAGGTCTGGATTTTAGGGAGACTCAATGCTTTTTAAAACATTTTTGGGGGTTTGGGGTCCCCCCTAAACATTCCTAAAGAGTCTGGTATGAATTGCCAGACTTTATTGTACGTGTGGACTGTCAAAAGTTTAAAACTCCTGTAATTCTGCATTCTGTAATAGTTCTCTGCTACTTTGTTGACATTCGGAGGAGGCAGAGAACTGTCACAGAATAGCACACAGGTCTCCGCTACTTTTTTCTGGAAATATTTCAGATGCATTCGAATTTTCGTTATCAAAAACATTCGGATTTGTTTGGATTCGTTATTTCTGTCATTCGGAAATTCGGATGCATCCGAATATGCAGAAATTCATATGAATGTCAATTCGGAATAAAAATAAATTGCACATGTGCAGTGCCGACACTATCCTTGCTTCTGGGCGGTGGCTACTTTTATTCTCCATGGTTGTGTGTGTTGTAAAGTAGCCACCGCTCCAAGCTTGCTCCTGTGATGGACTACAATCTCAATACAAACTAGTAAACTAAACATGAAAATTGTAGTCCATCAGTGGAGTGAGATTGGAGTGGTGACTACTTTACAACACACAGAGGCACCATGGGGAACAACAGTGACCACCCTCCAGAAGGAAGGACAGTGTCAGCACCAATTCAGAGATGATTTGGGGATCTACAGCCCAGTGATACACAAATAAGATACATTTTTGTTAATTGTTAAGTAACTTGAATGTATTTTAAAGTTTAGTGTTCAAATTTAGCCTTCAGTAGCTTCCCCTAGATCCAAATCACCATTTAAATCACATGTTTATGTTAATACCTTTCTTTTTTCATTGCAACCCTATTTTAGATACTGTACTTGTAGGCAGATCATATCTGAAGAAAGGGCTGACAAGGTACTGTACACAGCTTCCTGAAAACATCATAGCACCCTACCTCAAGGGACGGCTGGGGAGGAAATGAAGTGGGCTTTATCTGACTTGCTGTAGCTTCTAATGCACAGTTGAGGAACTTAAAGTTGCAGTGAAATCAGAGGAAACAATTTCAGTACAGTAGAGGAGCCTGTACAACTGTGCAAGACTGAAGGGAAGATTTGAGTTATCATTTTCACTGCATGTCTTAATACATATATTATTATAACATTATTACTGTTAACACCATAACAGAATCTTTCCGCTTAACTACAAAATGCAGCTCTGGTTACCCTATATTAGAGCTTCTGTTTAGGCTATTCTAAGTGCACAGAAGCAGAAAATAATTGTCTGAGAGCAGTGATTACAAGTATGCAGATGACAGAACTGAGATTTATGGACTTGTCTCGCCATCAAGATTTGTTCAGCCAAATGTCATTAATAACACTGCACATGTCATTCATAATAGACTTTGCACACGTCATTCATAATAGACTTTGCACATGTCTGAATTTGGTTGCAGGCACTAAACATAACTGAAAGTTACAAAAAAGAAGGTGACCTGTGACCTTGGTATAAGTACAAAGGTAAATTCACAGTCACATACAGGATAGCTGAAAACCTGATAGATGACAGGTTTTCCCTTCTAAACACAAGCTGTGGCGCTCCTGTATAGTCATATATTTATATTAGAAGCACTGTTCTTATCACTGTTTTTATTCTATCAAAGGGAATTTCCACTCTAAGAATAAGTAGAACAAACATTCTGTCCTTTAAAAAATGTTTTCCCTTTAAAAGGCAATTTGAAGTCTGTCTGCATAGTCAGATTGATGTTTTAAACACTGTGTCCAGCTCTGTTTTTCAAGGTGTTAAAGGGGGTTTCCACTTTTAGAATAAGCATGAAAAATACTTGTGGTCCTAAAAGTGTGTTTCCACTTCTGCAGCTTATTTGGGATAACATAAACTTTAACTACTTGCTGTCTGACGGTTGTAACCAAACGGCTGGGCGGCTTGCTTTTGAATGTGGGTGGATGCGCACAAGTGGGAAACTTTAAACATTTTTATAGCTAGTGATGGTTATTTAGCTGTATATCTGGCCGAATGCTTGTATGGCACTGTGGAAGTGTGTGGGCCCCACCTTTCGCTGCCGGCTATCCCAGGCTCCACAGTCCCCCCTTGTGCGCCCAAGGCCAGCATGGTGGGTCTGAGTACTTTGTTCGGAAGGAGACCAGCACAATTCCACCAGCTGACACCCCCCGCCCCCCCTCTGATCACTGAACCCGGAAGCAATGTATATTACATCACTTCTGGTTTCAGTGTGTCATTTTCCTGGCTGCTGTAGCCGAAGAAGAAAATGGTGAAGCAGATTGCTGCTTCATTAGCTTCTTAGTTATCTCGAAGTGATATTAGGAGTCTAATGGACCGCTGATGTCTCCATAAAGAGGACCTGTCATAGTATCTGTACTATCACATAGGGGGTATGTTATCCCCCTATGTGATAGCAATAAAGTTAAGTGTTAAAAAAAAATGCTGGCCACTAGTTGGCTCTAAGGAGCATAGGAAATAAATACGTCCTATGTTTCTTAGCTCCATCTAGTGGCGATAATGCAGTATTATATTACATTCAACCTGAAAAGAAACTGTACTAAGATTGTTCATTTTTGCCTCTACAGAACGAATGTTCACAGAGATTCAGTCTTGCACACTGAGATTGAAGTAACAATACACATGTCTCTTGTATTTAGCCAATATTTGGATATCCCAGAGTTCAGCTATCAGCAGTCTCACAGTGTATCGAGTTCAATCCTTGGCAGATCAATGTCTTAGGAATAGGAGATTCATCAGGGTTCCCCAAAACAGTCCATGCAATTACAAAAAAAATGGGGGATTTCAACTTGAATTAGTACAATGTAAAATCTAATTGATTCTATAGACGTTGCATCTGTTCCATACAGGACCACCTTAGGATGACTGGTGGATGTTAGGTAGCATACCCTCCCTTCCAAAACACTACAGACAGCCGCATTCATAACATCCATGCTTGCAGCTACTGTGAATAGAAGGCACTGGCACTAATCACTGAAGTGCAGTGGAGAGCAATGGAGGAGTTGGCAAACTTTTCCACCAATCCATTCAAATTGTTTTGACTCAGATGACTGTTATGGGGGAATGTACCCACCATGTGTACCAAGTGTGCCACAACCATAGACAGAGCATATATTTACCTGAAATGCCAACATCAGCCACTAGAAGTTCTTTACTAGAAGACGAACTTTCAGCTAATTGTTTGAACTCATCGTGTTTTTCTCCATAAGGATACTGAGTGTCAAATTTTACTAGCACAAATTTACTTCTAGGAATAACCTGTGGGAAAGAGAAATTGTGTTATATCAAAAAATCATTCATATCACACCTCTGATTCCTGCTCAGGCCAAGGCTCAGTGTGAATAGGCATAGGATATCTGAACACCATAAAGAGACCCTGTCACCAGACCATTCATTTCAGCAAAAATCTTCCTATAAGATTATATGTGCATGTAATGTATTTTAGGTATGTAGTTAACCTACAGAAGTCTCCCTTGTGTAGACATCAAAAAGCCCTGAGATGTTTGCTGGGCCCGCCATCTTGGATGTGATGTCAGCTGCCCCCAACAGACATAGAGCTGTCACTCACTCTGTATTCTTCTACTTTGCTCCTCCTCCGGCAGCTACATAAAAGGTTACGTAGGGAGGAGAGGGACAATCTGGAAAGGAATCTGGAGCAGTTTCCAATGGCAACCATTCAGCTTCTTTTTTCAGCTTGTTCGGTTAGGCTTTGAAAATTAAAGATGGAAGCTAAATGGTTGCCATGGACAACCGCTCCAGGTTTGATAAATTCCCCTCTATGTATCTTCTGCAATAAAACAAAGTTATCTGCCTGTTCCAAGACTTCTTTAGAATTTACATTGCGCTCTGCTCTCCTTGCTGCCAAGATGAATGAACTCCAATGTGCATGTAAGGGAGTTACGTCATTCCGGCCCAGTCGTCAAGATGGCCAAAGATCCTGAACCTGGAAGATATTAGCACCAGCAAGGGAGGGAGGGGAGATTTTTTGTGTTAAGATCTACTTTTCAAATGACGAGCTACATGAGATCTACCAACGAAAAAAAACCTACCTCACTCTCTCTCCCCTGGCTGTCTCTCCTCGCTCTCCTGGCTGTCTCTCCTGGCTGTCTCTCCTCGCTCTCTCTCCTGGCTGTCTCCAGGCTGTCTTTCCTCACTTTCTCTCTCCTGCTGTCATTCCTCCTTTTCTCTCCTGGCTGTCTCTCCCTGCTCGCTCTCCTGGCTGTGTCTCCTTGCTCTCTCTCTTGGCTGTCTCCAGGCTGTCTCTCCTCGCTTTCTCTCCCCTGGCTGTCATTCCTCCTTTTCTCTCCTGGCTTTCTCTCCTCGCTCTCCTGGCTGTCTCTCCTCGCTCTCTCTCCGGGCTGTCTCCAGGCTGTCTTTCCTCGCTTTCTCTCTCCTAGCTGTCATTCCTCCTTTTCTCTCCTGGCTGTCTCTCCTCACTCTCTCTCTCCTTGCTGTCTCTCCTCTCTCTCTTTCCTGGCTGCCTCTCCCCGCTCTCTCTCCTGGCTGTCTCTCCTCACTCTCTCTCTCCTTGCTGTCTCTTCTCTCTCTTTCCGGGCTGCCTCTCCCCGCTCTCTCTCCTGGCTGCCTCTCTCCTGGCTGCCTCTCTCCTGGCTGTATTTTGCAAGCAGTGTAGTGCAACAGGCTGGGTAAACTAATATTCTTTGATACATTGCACTCCAACCACCAGTATCCACCAGAAAGGTGTCAGGGAGCTTGGCTCAGCAGACTCAGGCTAATAGGTAATTATGTGTGCACAGCTAAATAAATATACCAAAATGCAATAAAGGGGCCGCAATTCACACCCTTTGTGATCTACCAGCATCAGCTTTGAGAGCTACTGGTAGATCACGATCTACCTAATGGGCAGCCCTGCTATAGATCGATTACTTAGTGATCATGAAATGCTGATCTTATTGTCTTCTCCCTGCAAAAAAGTAGTGACCGTCAGCCACCGCTCCCCGCAGGGATTCCCTTCTCCCCTCTCTGTTCCCCCAGCAGTCATTGGAAGGACAGACAGGGGAGGGGGCGGGCACAGCTGACTTTGGCTCTAGAGAGGTGTAGCCAGCTGTCAATAAGGTAGTGGCGTGGATCCCGACAATAGTGTTAGAATCCTTCCAGGCCACAGTGCAGCCGAGTGATACACAAATAAGATACATTTTTGTTAATAGGTAAGGTACTTGAATGTATTTTTAAGATTTGACCTTTGTAGGATGATCTAACCCTGTATACCCAGGTTTCCTATATATTCAATACTGTGCAAAAGTTTTAGACAGGTGTGAAATAATGCTGTAAAATAAGAAAGCTTATACAAATAAAACTGGTAATAGTTTATTTTTTATCAATGAACAAAATGGCAAGTAAATGAACAGAAGAGAAATCCAAATCAAATCAATATTTGGTGTGACCGCCCTTTGCCTTCAATACATCATCAATTCTTCTAGGACACTTGCATGCAGTTTTTGAAGGAACGATCCATCATGCCACACCATCAGGGAGGGGTGTGATTAGCCCCACATTTTTCTGCAGCAGGACGGCCCCAAACATACAGCCCTACGGAATAAATGTCAGTCAAAGTACCGCAGCGCTGAATACTGAAAAATGGCCTGGATGGGAAGGGGGTTTAACACCGCGGATGTCAACTGGTTAAGAACTATCTACAGCAGAAGAAAGAACAAGGAGTCCTGGAAGTGATGGTTTGGCCCCCACAGAGCCTTGATCTCAACATCATTGGGTCTGCCTGGGATTACATGAAGAGACAGAAGGATTTGAGGCAGCCTACATCCACAGAATGTGTGCTTAGTTCTCCAAGATGTTTGGAACAACCTACCTGACGAGTTCCCTCAAAAACTCTGTGCAAGTGTACCTAGAAGAATTGATGTTGTTTTGAAGGCAAAGGGCGGTCACACCAAATATTGATTTGATTTGGATTTCTCTTCTGTTCATTTTACTTTCCATTTAGTTAATTGATAAAAATAAACTATTATCACTTTTATATGTGAAAGCATTCTTACTTTACAGCATTTTCTCACACCCACCTAAAACATTTGCACAGTATTGTACATAAATACACAACTTATTTATTATTGTTTGCTATGGGTATTGCACTTTGCACTCTCCCCTCCTCTGGTACCGAAGACACATTTCTATGTTCAATTACGCTTTCTCAGCTGTTCCAGGGCAGATTGGCATCACAGATTGTATGTGCAGGACAACCGGTCTGTCCTGGAACAGCTGATCGGTCCTGAAATGTGACTTTGTGAGTGCGATCTCACATTCCACAGAGTCGGATAGAAGTGACATTTCAGGACCGATCAGCTGTTCCAGGGCAAATCAGTTCTCCTGCACATACGATCTGCGATGCTGATCTGCCCTGGAACAGCTAAAAAAGTGTAGGAATTCTGGACCTATTGGTGGTCACACATTCCACCGCCAAAAAACTAGGCGGGATTACGTTAAAATGTGTGACCACATCACCGGCCACATATTCCACCGCTGTAAAACTGGGCGGGATTACAGTAAAATGTGTGACCACGTCACCGGTCACACATTCTAACGTAGTCACAAACTTTGATAGAAACCGGCCAGACACATATGCTCTGGTCATTGGCCAACCACTAGGGGCTGGCCACCCATAACATCTCCTATTGGCTGCTGCTTAGCTATGGGGACGCTGTGTGTACAGAGCACTGACAGCTCATACAGTCAATGAATGTAATACGGACCATTCATGAGTTGTACTGTTATCACATCACACACATCGTCCGCGATCTGTCAAATGTAACATTGCAACACACTTACAATCTGTATGTATGTAACTAGACGAGAAAAGCAAGCATTGTTTATCTGTATAAAGAGAACCCGATCGGCTCCCAGTGAGCACACTGTTTATGTAAATAACCGATCTCACTATTAGTAGGATGTGCAGCAGGTGAGCCTGACATTCAATCAATGCAATACAACGGAACAGTGGTGACAGGCGAAGTAGAAGACACGGCTTTGCATGCAGAGTGGGCGTGGGCAGGGCTGTGGATGAGGAGAAGGGTCCCGGAATGCTCCGTTACCTTATAGAATGTGATCTGGTCCAGAGACAGGGTGCCCTTGGTGCGCAGAGCGCCGCAGTGTCGCAGCATGCTGGAAGTCAGCAGCACAAGCAGCGCACACACAGCTGGCACATTGCATCCTCTCGCCATGATTTTTGGAGATTGATCAAAGCCTGATGAGCAGAGGAGGGGGTCACGTGACGTGCCTGTGACCATACTTCCTGTCTGAGCTGTCACAGGTCACATCTAGAACAATCCTTGGACCCTGTCCTCTGGGACAATCATCATGCTGACCTACCACTAGAAGCAAATCGCTGTGTATTGGAAAACAAGATGTATTGGCACAGTGCTGCACATGAGGGTACATTCTTTATCTTATCTGCAACAATGATGACCACTACTTCTACAGATGTGAGATGTCCTATCACACTCCATACCAGTATCCCAATTGAAAATAATCCAGTGGGTGCTGTAGTCACCTGCGGATGATGGCACCATGTAAACCAAATATAAAATAGTCTCCAGCACACCAGGGTCCACTTTATCACACCTTCATATTGACAAAAGATACACACTGTATTACAGGAAATTGCAGCGTTTCTGAACCACATGCGGTTCCTTCATCAGGCAAAACAGTGTGATTGCCATAACATAGTGAACATATATACATGAAGTGACAAACCAATAGACCAATTAGGGGAAAAACCAACCCTGGGCATGGGGTATGATTGCCCTCACTGATTGGTCTATTGGTTTGACACATCATGTCTATATACTCACTATGTTATCACACTTGATATCACACTGATTTGCCTGATAAAGTAACTGCATGTGGTTCCGAATCATTTTAATTTCCTGCGATACCATGTTTATCTTATGTCAATAAGATGGATTATATTCAGTCCCAGTCACAATGGTCACAAGGACAATTAAACAGGGTGTGTCTCCCCAGTGGAGTCACAGGCAGTGAGAAAAACATTCTATCCCTTCCACACTCTATTCGTAATGGTTTTACCTACATTTTAAAGTTTCTTTCAAATAAAATAGTTCTGGTTTCTAGAGCAGCAACCAGAGACCATGCAATAAACACTTAGTGGGTTAATCCATAACGCATTCATTCTTCAACCAGATATAGGTATAAAGAAGCAAAGCGGAGGCAAGAAATTCAATGAAAATGAAAGCGAAACACAATTTAGATGGAAAAGATCTAAAGATAGACCTCACTCGCTCAACCACATTTTGTTGGTGTTTGGATGGCTTAGGAAGGTAGACTATACCAACATAAACCATACATCACAATGTTTTTCTAATGGATTGTGAAATCTAGCAGTGAGAGGCTCCAATTATTGAATCTCTTTTACTGGATTCGTTAATTCAGCGATGGTGGGGGAAAGTGTCTGCTTTCAATTTCAAGGCTATAAAACAACGAGCTGATGTCAATGTGTGAGTAAGGAGCAACACAAAGTACACATTTCATTTTTTCTTTTACACAAGTACACTGGTCTAGGTCCTTTGTTTTTACAGACTTGACATGAAAACAATGGCTAGTAAATGAGCCATCAAAAACTATTAGTGATAATGAATGCCAAAAGCTGAAAACCTGCCTTCACCATACCAGAGTGTGACAGCTCCATTGAGGCGATGAAAGTAGGTCAAGTTTTGGCCAGCTGTCATACACAGGACACAACGTCTATTGTCCATTCTCCTGCCTGGCCATCTGGAAAGATTAGCTGCATAGTGCTGACCACTGCATGTAAGCTGCCAATTGATTGGAACATAATTTTGTCCAGAACAAACTACCGTATATCAACATTGTGCATAATACGTAGGCAGTGTATGGGCTTTATGGTAACCTAGTTTACAAAAAGGGCTTCTAGGTTGGACCACTTTATCTTTTTCAGAACCAGCGGGGTGTTAGTATAGTGTTTCTAGAATAGTGATTGGCAGAGTTTGGAAGATGATATTATTTGCAAATTATTAACCTAAAACTGGTATACTTGTAATTGTATAAAATGACAAATAAGCTTAATTAAAATATGCCCAAGTAAGGGTAGGCTGAGAACTTTTGACCTAGGAGGCACACACAACCAGCTGGCCTATATATGGGGAGGTTCCTTGGGGCTAAACGTGCACCATATAAAGTGTGCCATAAAGAGTGGTGGCCATGTTTAAAAGATAGGTGTCGCAGAACATTTTATTTTTGCAGTTTATTATCACACAACTTTCCCATATACACTGACTGGCCAAAAAAGTCACACACTTCGTTGGACCACCTTTAGCTTTGATTACGGCACATATTCACCATAGCGTTGTTTCAATAAGCTTATGCAATGTCAGAACATTTATTTTCGTCCAGAGCTGCATCAACTTTTCACCAAGATCTTGTACTGATGATGGGGGAGTCAGACCATTGTGTAAAGTCTTCTCCAGCACATCCCAAAGATTCTCAATTCAATGAGGTGAATGTCTGGACTCTGTGGTGGCCAATCCATGTGTGGAAATTATGTTTAATGTTCCCTGAACCACTCTTTCACAATTTGAGCCCGATGAATCCTGGCATTTCCATATTGGAATAGGTGTGCCAGGGAAGAAAAAAATCCATTGATGGAAAAACCTGGTCATTCAGTATGTTCAGATAGGCAGCTGACCTCATTTTTTGGGGACATAATGTTGCTGAACTTAGAGCTGACCTACTGAAGTAATCCAAGATCATACTCTTACCCATGTGCTTAGCTCAATCCATGTGGTGACTTTTTTGGCCAGGCAGTGCAAATGCTAAAAGGAGGAGATTGTAAGGGATACATTGTAAATTGGAGAATTTTTCCACTTCAGCTATGTTGTCCTAGTTTGTTCACTTCTCCTGCCTTCTCCAAACTCTTCTCCCTTTTGTGAATAACCCTGTAAAGGTTAATAAAAACCTGGCTCTAATTACGACTAAATCACATTAGGTTAACAACTCCAAGTACCCCATCCAATCTCATTCAGTTTTCCATGGACAGCAGCTGTCATTTTTGTACCCTGCTGTGGCCTGGCCACTATACATGTGGATGGGCAGGCATGATCCTTCTCAGCTCGGGGGAAGGGGAGTACACTTTGGCATCTCTAACCTTGGGTTCCAGAAGACCTTGTCCTAACACTGTTGCTAGCTGTTGATTATTTGAGTTGGAGATAAAATTGTATTTCTGTCCATCCAGTCCTAATATTTACACTTCCATGCTAGGCAGCACAACCAGGTAAACAACGCCACTTACAGTTAAGGAATACATTTGTGTCCTCTCTCAATCCCCCACCTACTGACGGGACAGTTAAAAAGCAGCAACAGATTGATGAGGTCATTCATCTGTTCATTCTGGTCTCTCCTCATATCAGCATTTTCCATTTCAACACATTTGCATTGGCTTCCAGTCCTGCATAGGGAACTGTAAAAGGATGATGCCATGAATATCACAATACCAAAATCAGGTACTTACATGAGAAAGAACTAATTTAAAGGTTTGTTAAATTCCCCAGGGGACCCAGTGCATATATGATTTGTCCCTGTTAAAATCCATGAAGGGGTTGCTGAGCAACTTCGATACTGTACCCGTTTTGCCCCTCCTCTTGGGGCTTCGTCAGGACGGAGGGGCGGCGAAAGGAGGGGCTAAACGCGAAATGCGTAGACGCCGCTTTCAGAGATAAGGTGGATGACCCAGAGACTGCCGGCCGTACAGCCCGAATATTTTTGGATCAATAGTAACGAGGGGATTGAGTTAAAAAACAACAGTGCATGCCTGGATCACCAAACACCTGGATGCCAAATCAATGAAGGGGGAATCAAAAGGACACTCAGCGATTAATCAGCCATAAACATCTCTACGCGGAGGAAACCCGTGGACGGGAAATCGAAGGACTGACCGAGAGGTCATTTGAGTAGATTTGCTGTTCGGCTCCAAAATACGAACCAGCAAAAAAGCTTAAATTATAAGTCACTACTATACACAAATGATCCCCCGATGCAAAAGGTCTTGAGAAATGGAGTATCAGTGATCAGGAAAAACAAAGCACATTTGAACACGTATCTAATCCCACTAAAAACATCAAGCTACAATCACAATAAGTGTCCCAGTTCTAATTGAAAGTATCCCCTATTGAAAATACGAAAACTGCCAAGAAAACCTTCACAGATCAAATCACTGTCAATTTTAGACAACTCTGTGGTCTGGGTTTTCAAAGAAATTGCAACACACAGGACTAACCGGGAACAAGAGGGGTCACCTAGACTGGAGATAGCTTAAAGATATGCGGATAACATCCAAATCATAGCTACTAAACAGGAACAAATAAGATACATACTAGTATCCAAAATAACCCACAGACCTCAGAAATATAGGAGATACATGTACGGCCAATCCAGGGTACATCTATCCACCTCACCACCGATCAAAGTCAGCCCGACCAGACATCGTTTTTTAACCATTTGACAGGAAACTGTCAGCAGTGTGTTCAGTAATGTTTTTTGCATGTCATTGATTAGAAATAAATAGATAATTTTTCTTTAAAAATCTTGACATTGTGGTTTGTCCCAGCCGATGATTAACCCTTGAGCTGCCTTCATCTATAAGACAGTTCGCACACCCTTTTTGGGCTATTGTTACACCACTGATGTTGAGGACTCTTCCGCTTTTTGTAGAAAAGCAGAAAATCAGTTCTTGAGACCCCTACCATTCTAGTGTTTATTTGAGTGTGAGCGTTTCAGGTAATTATGAACAAAAAATGTGCATGTTTTTTTTAGGTATTTTCAGGCTAAGGTGTTTTTTTAGGCGCTCCCATTGAAGTCAATGTGGCCAAAAATGCATGATTCTGCCAAAAAGAAGCTGAAGTACTTTTTCAATCTATAAACAGCAGGTCACACAATAATAGGGCGCCATTGAAAATAATGGGGGATTCTTCATGTTGAGCGCTGTCACGCTTCAGGAAACATTTAACAAAACACTCAGGTGAGGATAGAGGCTTACTCAGAGCCTTCAATCTACTTTGAAAACAGTTGAGCAGCTTCATAACTGCTTTTTATTTTTGCAGGCAACTGATTGGCCAGGGTTCTAAGCAGGTCCTTGGGGTACAGGGAGGCCTTTTCTGCTTTCAGGGAAACCCCGTTAAAGGAGTTGTAAAGTCCCAGCATATATTATCCTGTTATAACATCACCATTGCAATAGGAATACATTTTATTTTAACCCCTTCATGACTGAGCTTGTTTTCCGTTTCT